CATCCGGTCCGCCTTGGTCAATAGGGCCATTCACGACATGGGCCGCGTTGCGGTCTATATTAACCATGTGTACACTCTAAATGTCAAGGGACAATTTTGTCCGTAGATTTGCAACGATTTCGTGCACATCCAGAAAGGATGCAATTTTGTTCCTAAAACTAGACAAATTGTGTGAAACTTCACACAATTTGTCCAATTAAGAGAACAAAATTGCATCCTTTCTGGATGTGCACGAAATCGTTGCAAATCTACGGACAAAATTGTCCCTTGACATTTAGAGTGTACAACGACCCCGCGCCGCGCCGCCCAGCCTCTGCGACAGTGAAGGCAAATGTTATCAGCTGCATGTAGAAGGCAACATATGGATTACGTGTTTCGCTGAACTTGTAATGGTGAGTCTGCTGACTCTAACGCAGACCAGGGCCAATTTGCAACTTGTTGTTTAACTGTGATTCAAAATCTGAGCCCTTAATGCCAGCATAATCGGTGAAGGTGGACTGACATGCTCTGTCGCCCGAGGGGTGGGGCCTGCTGCCCCCCTCTCTGAACCGCATCCACTAACAGGGATACCCGGGCTTCCGTCGTGACCAGCCTTCTTCGATTGGGCGGCACCGGCGGAGTCCGGGGGGAGGACTCCCGACCTTGAACCGTGACCAGCCTTCTTTGATTGGGCGGCACTGATCCTGTCAGGAGGGGTGTGCGAAGGCACAGGTGGACCGTGACCAGCCTTCTAGGCGCAACACTTTGGCCGCTGGGGCTACCACCCACGATGTAGAAAGACCCGGTGGCGGCGCTCCCTATGCCGTAGCGCGCCAAAGGTGGCACCAGATCTCGTACCCGTAAGTCAGTACCTGCTGCGACCGCCGCCGCGCTGCAGCCGAGTGGTACGCGCGCCCTCCCTTCCCCGCCTCCTCTCCCCGCCGCCCGGGAAGGGCCCAGCGGGAGGCGGGGGGCTGCAGGCGGGGGGCTGCAGAAAATTTGCATATGTGTTGTAAAATTACAATTTTAAATTGTAAAATTACAAGCACTGCATATTT